GGGGCGACCCATAGTTTCCTGAGTGCGGGAGTGGCAGAGAGGCTTGAGACGGGAGAGATAGAGCCGAGGAGTGATTTCACTGTGCGCATACCAACCGGAGAGACATTAGCAGTGCACGGGATCCTGAGAGACATACCCCTTGAGGTTTGCGGTCGCCTATTAGCCGCAGATCTCATTGTGGTACCCATCGGAGGTTTCGACATCATTCTGGGCATGGATTGGTTGATGAAGTACCAAGCCTACATTGATTGTCCTAAGAGGACAATCTGGTTTACGGCACAACTATAATCAATTAATCTTTCACCTCTAATTGCAATCCCTACCATCCGCTGTTAACCACAATTTATCAACTACTAACCGCCTACAATCGCCAAGAATTATACTAAAAACGCCGGTATCCTCAACCGCTCGTACCCTTAGGATATTAAAAAAAAAACTCAGATCCAAACAATGACTTCGAGATGGATAGATCTTTTCGAGTATGAACACTTCAAACGAAGAGATGAAGAGAGAAAGTCCCGACACTCTCTCTCCCAATCAGTGTCTTTCTCCCACACTTGGGACTTGAAGTCTGACATTTGTGTCGGTTGATTATATATATTTTTATAAAGTTGGTACGTCACAACACGTATATATATTGGCATGATAATAGCTTTTTCTACAACTTGATCGTTTGCGCAACCAATTACAATTAATTATACGATTTTAGAAGTAGATCAATTGTGATTTCAATAACAAGGGGTTTGTGTTTTGATCGAGTTTGGAATAGTTGTGTGCATGTGCATGAGATGGATCCTACAATGGCCGAAGTGTGACCTCTTTGTATCTCTTTGTTTTCTTTCTAATGTTCTTGTGTTGTGTGTCCACAGAGAAAATTAGGTTGCGCCGTTACCCCATACAAATAGAGTGGTTGCGATTTTCGATTGTTGCGTCCGTTTGGAGAATCGGCGGATTCAATCGCAACGGTAACAAAACGCAAAATTTTTAATCGCAATTTTATACCCGCGTTTTAATATATAGCATCTCGTGTCGTTTGATGAAAAAGACAAAAATATAGTTTTTTTAATATTTAATATTATTTTAATAATAAATTACTTTTTTATTTAAAAATAGGGATAATCCCATATTCCCCCACAAATTTTTGAAAAAGTTCCAATTTCTTACACCAATTTTTAATTTGACAAAAAACTACACCAGATTTCAAATATTTCCAAATTCCCACACAAAATCTTAAAATGTGTTGCAATTTCCCCCATATCCGTAAACGACGTTAAGTTCCATCAATTTTAATGCTGATATGGCATGCCACGTCATACCGATTTCACCAAATCAACACATTTCGCCACATCATCCAGCCACGTCAGAAAGTAAATAAAAATAAAAAATTTCTAGAATTTTTTTAAAAAATAATAAAATAAAATAAAAATACAGAATTTCAAATTTTATTTTTTAAAAATAAAATAGAAAATTACATATACATATATATATATACACTTTTATATCTATACACAATTATATACATATACATATATACAAATATACATCTACATACATAATTATATACATATATATATATATAGACACACTTATACATTTACATATATACATACTTTTACATATATACACAATTTTTTTAAAAAACTTTTAAAAAATTACAGAATTTTAAAATTTATTTTTTAAAAATAAAATAAAAAATTACATATACATATATACACAAATAATATATATTCACATATATATATACATATTCATATATATATATATATATATATATATATATATATATTGAATATGTATATATATATATGTGAATATGTATGTATATATGTATATATATATACATACATATTCATATATATGCATATATATATACATTTATACATACATACATGCATACATACATACATATATACATGTATGTATAAAGGAGAACACATATGTATATATGTATGTATGCATGTATATATAAATGTATATATATATGTATATATGTATATATGTATATATATGTATATATGTATATATGTATATATGTATATATATGCATATGAATATGTATGTATATATATATATTTATACACATATACATACATATTCACATATATATACATATTCAATGTATATATATGGATATATATGTATATATATGAATATGTATATATACATATGTGAATATATATATATTATTTGTGTATATATGTATATGTAATTTTTTATTTTATTTTTAAAAAATAAATTTTAAAATTCTGTAATTTTTTAAAAGTTTTTTTTTTAAAAATTGTGTATATATGTAAAAATGTGTATATATGTAAATGTATAAGTGTGTATATATATATATATATGTATATAATTATGTATGTAGATGTATATATGTATATATGTATATGTATATAATTGTGTATAGATATAAAAGTATATATATATGTATATGTAATTTTCTATTTTATTTTTAAAAAATAAAATTTGAAATTCTGTATTTTTATTTTATTTTATTAATTTTTAAAAAAATTCTAGAAATTTTTTATTTTTATTTTATTTTTTATTTATTTTCTGACGTGGTTGGATGACGTGGCGAAATGTGCTGATTTGGCGAAATTTGTATGACGTGGCATGGCACGTCAGCATTAAAATTGACGGAACATAACGCCGTTTACGCATATGGAGGAAATTGCAACACATTTTAAGATTTTGTGTAGGAATTTGGAAATATTTGAAATCCGGTGTAGTTTTTTGTCAAATTAAAAATTGGTGTAGGAAATTGGAACTTTTTCGAAAATTTGTGGGGGAATATGAGATTATCCCTTAAAAATAAATTAAAATTGACAAAATTTATATTTTAATTTTTTTACTAAATTATTTTTTATAAATTTAGTGAATAGTTCTTTTATCAAATGATAATAAAATTAATTAAAATTATTTAAAAATATATATTAAAATTATATTTTTATATAATTTGTATCAAATCGTAACCACAACTATAATCAATTAATCTTTCACCTCTAATTGCAATCCCTACCATCCGCTGTTAACCACAATTTATCAACTACTAACCGCCTACAATCGCCAAGAATTATACTAAAAACGCCGGTATCCTCAACCGCTCGTACCCTTAGGATATTAAAAAAAAAACTCAGATCCAAACAATGACTTCGAGATGGATAGATCTTTTCGAGTATGAACACTTCAAACGAAGAGATGAAGAGAGAAAGTCCCGACACTCTCTCTCCCAATCAGTGTCTTTCTCCCACACTTGGGACTTGAAGTCTGACATTTGTGTCGGTTGATTATATATATTTTTATAAAGTTGGTACGTCACAACACGTATATATATTGGCATGATAATAGCTTTTTCTACAACTTGATCGTTTGCGCAACCAATTACAATTAATTATACGATTTTATTCAATCGTCACATGCCCCGGGTAGAACTTTATGTCTAATCGTAGAAAAATACCTGGTTTTTTTTCCTAATATTTGACGAGAAATCTGAGTTTTAAACTTAAAAAATACAACATACATTAGACTCATTATAAAAAATATCCTTATT